TTTGAAGTTTAGATAAAATTTTCGATGTTGCAATTTTCATCGATAATTTTCAAAATTCGCTATAAAATTAATTTCTTGAAGGATCCTTATGGAAATATCACCATTTATTAATAAAAGTGTCCTCTTTCCAATGAACCAACCCGTTTTGAAAAATAACTTTTAGTTTTTGAGAAAACAATATTTGAAGTTTTGATAAAATTTTCGATGTTACAATTTTCAAAATTCGCCATAAAATTCATTTCTTGAAGGGTCCTTGTGGAAATATCACTAATTATTAATTAAAGTATCCTCTTTTTAATGTAACAAGCCGTTTTGAAAAATCACTTTCAGTTCTTGAGAAATAAATTTTTGAAATGATCGATTCCAATTTTACAATTTTCGCCGATTAAGTTTTAAAAATTCGTATAAAATCGATTTTTTTGAATCTGAGTATGAAAATTTCCCAAAATGTTAATAAAAGTGTCCTCTTTCCAATGAACCAATCCATTTTGAAAAATAACTTTTAGTTTTTGAGAAAACAATATTTGAAGTTTTGATAAAATTTTCGATGTTACAATTTTCAAAATTCGTCATAAAATTCGTTTCTTGAAGGATCTTTGTGGAAATATCACCAATTATTAATTAAAGTATCCTTTTTTTAATGCAAAAAGCCGTTTTGAAAAATCACATTTAGTTCTTGAGAAATAAATTTTTGAAATGATCGAAAATTTTTTCGAAGTTTTTTCTTGGTATTTTAGTCTTTCTCCTTCCTGCCTTAGTTGTGAATTGCCATGACTAATCTGTGTTTGGTTCCCATTTCTGATTCTGCTTCAGCCTTTACCTCCTCGATTCTGTAACCAATAATACTTAGCATTTCTTTCTTCCTCCACAAACATATAAACAATAAATTATTTTAGATAACCTAAACAACATTAATATAGAAAATATTGATAACAAAGAATCGTTCACAAAATTTCAAATCGAAATTAAAACGAAGAAATCAATTTCATTATCATTGGGTTGTACAGAAATTGAAAGCATTAAAAAGCCAAAAATTGGGATGAAATCGGAGACTCAAATAAATGAAGTGTTAAGCTTTAACAAAGAAATTAAAGGGATTGGTTTTAATTGGGGCACAAACACGGTTTATTACGTTTGTTTTGAATCGACGAGTGTATCAAAATTGGAAAAACTTAACTTATTAAAAGAAATTTTTAATAACCCAGAAATAAAGGTGCGAATTTTCGATGGAAAGGAACAAATCAAAACGGCCGCGTTAAGTTTGGGAGTTGATTTTAATACTAATATCGAAGATCCAAAAGTATTTGATTGGATTTTAAATCCTGATGGAAGCGAAAAAAATTTGCAAGAAATGGTTCGTTTTTTTTAAGTTATTTATGATCAACTTTAAGGTTAAAATGTTTAAGGTGATTAAATACATCCCGGAAGCTCAAAATTTATTAAAATCAATCGATGATAAAATAAAAGGAGTTGGAAGTATCGGATTAAACACGAAATTATCAAAAACACCCCCGAAACTTCGATGTTGCGTCGAATCGGTTTTAACTTGGTTCTTATTCGAATCATTTCTAAAAAGCCAAGAAAAAAAGTTATTTCACCCTTTTTGTAAGTCATAAAACCAAAAATCAATACATTTCTTACAAATCAATTTTTTAGATGTTGAAATGTCGCTTATTAAAATATTATCTCGCATGGAATTAATAGGATTTGGTGTAAATTTATCGAAATTACAAGAGCTGTCGAAAATTTTAGCACAACAAACGGTGGATTTAGAAAAAAAAGCTTTCCATATCGCAGGAAGAACCTTTAGCTTTTCATCTTCAACCGACGTCGCTAAAATTTTAGGGATGTACCAAAATAAAAAACGAATTAGTACAAATAAAAAAGCCTTAGAGAAACAATTAGAAAATCCGATTGCCCCTTTAATAGTTCAATGGAGAAAAATAAACAGCATTTTAACAACGACCATTTACCCGTTATTAAAATTAATTAGAAACGAAAATCGTATTTATCCTTGTTCGATCACGCAACATGCAACTGGAAGAATTTCTATGCACGAACCTAACTTACAAAGCGTCCCAAGAAATTTTGAATCTAACGATAAAGCGGTTATAATTAATTGTCGCGAAGCCTTCCAAGCTAAAGATAATCATTTATTGATTTCTGCCGATTATTGCCAATTAGAATTAAGATTATTAGCTCATTTTTCCAAGGATAAAAATTTAATCGAAGTTATGAAACGCGTAAATGATGATGTATTCAAAATAATCGCAAGTAAATTAAATAACGTTAAAGTTGAGGAAGTTACCGATGAAATGAGGCAAAGAGCGAAACAAATTTGTTATGGAATTATTTATGGAATGGGTGTAAAAGGACTTTCTGAGCAAATGAATAGTTGCGAAGAAGAAGCTTCGATGTTTTTAGAAAACTTCCACGAAAAATATCCGAGTATTCGACAATTCATCCAAACACTTATTGAAAAATGTAAAGAAACCGGGTTTATTGAGACTTTAAGCGGGAGAAGGAGATTTTTTGAAAACATCAATAATCCCCACCCCGCCGTTAAAAGTCAAGCAGAAAGACAAGCCGTTAATACAACTATTCAAGGATCAGCTGCTGATATTACCAAGAACGCGATGGTTTTAATCGAAAATGTGTTCCAAAATAAATTTAAAACATCAAGAAATAAACCTGAATTAGTTTTGCATATCCACGATGAGTTATTATATGAAGTTCCTGAAAAGTATTTAGCAGTAACAGCAAAAATTATTAGGAAAAGTATGGAAAACGCTGTAAAATTATCGATTCCTTTTCCTGTAAAAATAAAATTTGGTAAATCTTGGGGAAAATTAGAGATGATTTAATAAAAACATTTACCAATTTATCAATTAACCTTCAGTTTCTAAGTTTAAATCTTTAAAGACAATATTTAGTTCTAATTTTTTTTATTTTTGTCAAATAAACAATGAAATCTCTACATAAAAAAATCTGATTCTACTTCATCCACTATTTCATCTCCTTTATCTTCAGTATTCTCCTCCCCATCATCCTGATTTTCCTCAAAATCAACTAATTTTTGTACAACCGAAATGTTTCTGTTCTTGAACAATTTGCATTTCATATTCTTGCAATTCCCTTCTTTGATTTTGCATTCGGGTTTAGCCGCATGTCTCTCAAGATGGCTATGTCCAAAAATGGACGCAGAGGGCTGCTTGATGATAATAATCATAATAACTTGATCTAATCGTGTTTGTAAATTTTCATAAGAGGAGAAGGCTTCCGCAAGCCGATGATATCATTCTATCAAATAGCTGCAAGTTTTTGGGTGTTTATCTAGACGAGCAGCTAAGTTTTGACAAACATGTTGATCATCTGGTTTCGAAATTGAACTCGTCCTTCTATGCAATTCTGAAGTTGAAGGGATGCCTCCCGCTATCGGGATTATTAGATGCGTATTATGCTCTCTGTTATTCGCATCTCTCATACAATATATTATTGTGGGGAAGATCGACGGAGTGGCGGCGTGCCTTTGTAGCACAGAAGCGCATTATAAGATTAATCTTCGACCTAAACTGCAGAGATTCGTGTAGAGATACATTCAAGGCCAATTCGCTTCTTACTCTTCAAAGTATATATATATATAAATCAGTTGTTCATGTGCGGGAGCATGTCGATAGATACCCTGTCATGAAACACAATTACGAAACTAGATCTGATAGTTTGGTGTGCTTGGGTCATCATAAGACGGCTTTCTTTGAAAAGAGTCCACGGTATGATTTCCCAAAGCTCTATAATAATTTGCCATCTGCAATTAAAAAAGCTGATACGCTTAGCTCATTTAAACATAAAGTAAAAATGATGCTTGTAGAAAGGGCGTTTTACGACCGCCAGGAATACTTGTCATTTAATTTTAGTATTAGTCCTAGTCAACTAGCATAGGTCATACTTCATAATTTAATTTCTCTCTTTCTTTGTTGAATATTGTGTATGTTGTGTATTATATATTGTATGTGATTTGAACTTGTCACATCTACTATTTGTAGCCAGGTGATTAAATAAATTATTATTATTAT